GCACAGCATTACTCTTGTTAATTGTTTAAGATTCTGCTCAGTTCCTAACAAGAAGAAAGATCCTGTCTTTCTTTCAGTGTTAATCTTGCATGTTGCATTTTCATTATCTTCTTGTATAAAGCAAAATTATGGTTTTCCAAGCTGTCTTTATACTGTTAGTTGCTGATGATTAAAGACAGCTTTACTGTGATTGCTTGAGAGGTATTTATTACAAATAAACAAAAGAAATCAATTCACTTTTCAGGATGAATGCTTTGAACAGAACAAATAATGGAATAGAAACTATTTTACCAGTGCAAAAATGGCTAAAGAACAAATACAAGCCTATAATTGATGAAGGTGGTTTTTAAGTTTGACCAAACTAAATTTTGATTTCTGCCACAGATAATCAGTCTGTTTGTTGTTTCTGGGTTTATTAGGATAAATATCCCTCTTCTGGAATGTATGTTTAGTCCTGAAAGCTAAGGAGGTGACACCTGTGATTTCCAGATTGTTGACTGTTGCTTTTCAGGAAAAAATAATTGCCTTACCAGTTGACACATGATCTCAGTTCTGTCAGTTCAAGCTTGAGTGAAATTGTGTGTTTTAATATGACTTTAAGTTCCATATCTGAGTGACAGAAATCCAAAATATTTGTCTATTCTGTTTACCTTTTCTCTCTGTCTCACAGTCCTTAGCATTGTGTTAGTACACCTGTGTCTTTTCTGTGCTATTAGGCTGCTATAAAAAATAAATTAATTTGAGACCAAAGAAATATAAATCACAAGGTAAAACAAGAAAAAGGAAAATGGAATTAGTTATGTGTGTGCTAATTATGCTATTAAGACTGATTTATTTTGGAGGATAATCATGTCACTGTAAAATGACAGTTCCATTTCTGCATGTACAGTAGTATGTTCCAATAGCAGCTTTTTCCTTTTTCTTTTTTTGTCTTTGTACTCCTTTTATTGCTCATTGCTTTACAGAGTTCTTTAGCTTAATTTTAATGCTACTCAATTAATGATATTACAGAAATGTTATTGGGCACATCTTTTTGCTGTTACATTTCCTGTCTCAAAGGCTGAATGGATGTATTTCCTACAAAAGCAATTGTTGACTGCAAAAAGGGTATCAGGGGCTTCTAGCTAAATACACATTTCTAGAGAATTAAATGACTAGATGGTTTTGCCATATTACTAATGTAGAAAATAGTCTCTGTAGGGCAGTTGCCACATGAGTAGACTAATAGATTACATAGGTGAACATTTACAGGGAAACTGAGCATTAAAATTTTAGATCTAATAGAAGTTTATACTTGCTATTTCTTACTTAGCCTAGTCTAAGAGAAACACTGTATCTCCTTTTCTTTTGATTTAACTTGGGTCGTGAATGTTAGCAAAATTAACAAAGTAGCACTGCTCTATTTAATAGCATTGTCATAGCTTTCCTTTAAAAAACATCAGCAAGGTGTCTTGTAGTAATTATCCATGTGCAGCTCTACTTTAGCAACCTTTCATGTAAGCAAACATATTTACTTAAATCACCATCTGCAGTGAGCTCTATTTGAGAGAAAAATGCTCTTGCAGCTGTATGTTGGAGATGGGGGCTAAGCAATAAGTGTTTCTAAATTCAATTGTTTAAAATGCACACTGCATGGAAGTAGTGATGGGTATTCTTTTGTTGTCAGCAAGAACATTTATATGCTGAGCTGGCAACTTGGAGTCAATCATACAGTGGATTTATTATTTAATAAATTCTATAGGGTTGTGATTTTGCAGCATGGATTTGCTCTACTGGATTATATTGTTTTCGTACGTTCTTTCTGTTCCACTTATAATCTGCATGTTGTACAAAAGAGTATTTTGAGCTGCTGTTTCCCTGAAAATAGAGTAGATATTGCAAGGGTGAGTTTTTTCCTTGTTGTTATTAAAGCTCTAATGTCATTATTTCACTTAATACGTAAAAAATAACAAAGGTTTAAAGTCTATATTTTAAGTAGCTTTTTATTGTGAGCCATAGATTATTTATTTTAAATATTTAATTATTGGTAAAAAGCACGGTAATCAAGTATTTAAAATAGCTGTTTAAACAAAAGCAGGTGTGCATGATATAAACCCCAGTTGGAGATGAATGCACAGAGTTATTATGGGAAGACTTGAAGTTGGGCTGAACTCACTGTTTCTGTCCAAGGGTGCAGCACAAAGTACACAGAATCATGGAATCATTTAGTTTGGGGAAAACCTCTCAGCTCACCCGCTCCAACCATTACCCCAGGAGTTCCAAGCCCATCACAAACCCCCATCCCCAGGTGCCACATCCACAGATCCTCCAGGAACAGTGAATTCACCGCTTCCCTGGGCAGCCTGTTCCACTTGTTGACATTCCTTTCAGTGAATGAACTCAAGTGTTGGACTCAAAGTATGGAAAATATAAATTGAATCTCTTTTCCTGATTTCTGACAGCTTACAATGATTGGTACAAGATTTTAAAACTGATCCCAAGACTTTGTGAATTTCAAGGTAGCAAAACTAGTAGCATTAATGTGGGAAAGATCCTACCTTAGCTGCAGTTTTAACTATTGGCTACGTTATTATCCCAGGGAAAACCATTCACTGAGAGTGGTTAAGCAGAGAGAAACATAGAGAAAATATTAAAGAAAATATGTATAGAGTACAGAAATATTGGCATAATGGAAGAATGTCAGTCTTCTTCCAAATGTCCTACGATATTGTCCTGCTTCTGCTATTGCATTTCTTTTATCGTATACACTTACATTTGCTTCAGTAACAGCAGTGATGGCTAAAATGAATTGGTTTTGGGTTACCCCTACATAGAGATCTACAGATTGGTAGGAATCCATTTTTCATCACACGCTTGCAAGCCTGAGATAATTAACTGCATATAAAAAGCATATTAAAATATGCTTTCATTGCTGTGTAACAGATTTTTTGTAGATTTAAAAAGTGTAAATGCAAAGGTGTTGTCTTTTTCTGTGGTATTATCCAGGAACAGTGAGGTTAATAGGAACTTGCTGAATGAGAGTAATAAAATGTTCACTGAAGTGCTGCTACTATATAATCACTTACGTTTTCCACTTCCACATTTGTGATCTACTTCCTATTAAATGAACAATAATTGTAGGACCAATCAATTAAGGTTAGTTGGCAATAGCTTTTATATTTGTCAAAACACTAAGAGCTTTTGGAATGTGCTTCAGAATTCACCCTTTTAGCTCCTTTATAAGTTTTGTGCTGTCTTGTAATGGAGCATCACTGTTAAGAGCACTTAACTATGAGCAGAATAAACTGCTACGAATGTATTCCTGTATTTTTCACTGAAAGCATTGCAAAGATTTACACAATTAAAATTAAGTTTTGTGAAGAGGCTTTTCCAGCTTTTTTTTCCTTCCATTTATGGAATAATAATTCCATAAATGTAGATTGGAAAATATGAATGGATTTGGGAAAAGGTATCTGATAATGTAGTGGCAGCACTTCAATGAACATTTAATGTAGAGCGTCAAGAGGATAGCAGAATTACAACATGTAGGATTTTGTGGTAACTGCAGGTATTTTTCAGAAGTGTTGTGTTATGAAACAGAGAAAAACATCACATGTCACTATGTGCTGCTTAGAAATTTCTGGTGTTTCTTTCTGGTGTTTCTGGCAAACAGATTGAATGCCTGGCATGTCCTTAGTAAGAATTCTTCTTTAAGTTCAGCTGGCTGTTTAATGAGCCCTCTGAGGGCTGAACAAACCACTGAAGTCCTGAAATGGACAAGTGATTTCAATAATATCTTACATATAATTAGGTTTTTATGTGTCTAGTACCTTTTCATCTATTTGTTTTAGACTGAGGCAGAGAGGTGGGAGTGTATATGGGATGGGGGACTGTCAAAGAAGGATTTATTGTGTGTTATTCCTTATCAGTATAAGGGAAGTTTAAAACTCAGTCTGTGATAGGAATTCAATGATTATAAAGTAGAGAATAAACTTTTATCTTATACAGGTCACCGCTTGGTACCATATCTGTTCCCAAGCAGGACCTCATATATTAAATCCTTTATCTTAGTCATAATTAAAACTTCAGTGAAAGCCTAATATGAATGTCATTGTAGGTTCAGAGGTACTTTGGATTAATGAAGGACTTTAATTGTGGTGTGAATATTAGCAGGGAGTCATTCCATTGATGCGGGGATGTATGGACACATTTACCAGGGAGAGATTAGTAAATTTGGTACACTTGGTTAGGAATAAAAATTTGCTGCCTAAACAAGATAGTAATACAAATAAACATGGAAAGGAAAAAGAGTGCTCAAGAACTGGGAATAGGAAAATGTTTTTGAGGTGAGAATCTATCAGGCAGCAAGAGTGGCAGTGAGCAGACCACTGTGGAGAGGATTACTTTGGCCTTAAAGTGGAGTGGAGGGTTGATGTTGTTCCTGTGATTTTCCTTCAGTTCAGAATCCAGGAGCTTTCAAGTTGCCTGTTTCCTGCTTCTAGAAAACTCTTCTTGTGGACTATACCTGAGTGTTTGCTCTGCCTTTGGTCAAATGGTTTCAGAGATTTCTTTTTGTTCACTTTTGTCAATAGCAAGAATTCCAATTATATTAGATCTTTTACCAAACATCTGCAATTGTACTTTAATCAGACATTTCAGACTAAATGGATTTTGTCATTGGTCAGGATTTCACCCTGTGTAGCAAAGATGAATTATGAATAATTTTCTGTGTTGCACATTGAAATGGTAGGTTTTAATGGCTTTTCTCAAACTGCTGTTACTCAAGGTGTGGAGGACAGCCTCTAATGACACAGGAATAGTTTTTAACTCTGCAGAAAATAAAGTGATATGCTAGTGATTTTTTCTGAAAAAGATTATGATTGAAGTAATAATAGGTATATATTTTAATACAGCTTGTAGGAAATGTGTTTGGGATGACGTATTAAAATCTGTAAATATTCACTTAATTATCAAATTAAGTATGAATGAGGAAATCTCATTTTTCCTTTTTGATTTTACAGCTTGCACATGCAGTGGACATGCAAATATCTGTCACATGCAAACAGGAAAATGTTTTTGCACAACCAAAGGAATCAAAGGAGATCAGTGTCAACTGTGAGTACAAGTCAATGTAGCCTAAAGTTAGTGCAATCCTTGAATAGTGAATAATCACTATTTTTCCCATTTCACATCCTTGTTTTGGTACTGGGTTTTGTGATTCATCTGCTAATGTTTTAGTGGTGGATATAGCTTCCCTACATTTCTCAGGAAATTTCACTATTACTTGGACTTTAGTTAAAGAATTACATCACAAATATTAGTAATCTTTTGAAGGCACTAAAGACTTTTAAAAAATTCATTTTGTTTCCAGGAACAAACTGGAGAATTGCTTCTATTTGTCTTCCTTTCTCTTAAGTTTTTAAACTATAATAGTGTATTATAGGAAAGTGTATTAAGTTATTATAGTTAAGTGTATAGTTAAGTTATTAAGTGTATTAGATTATTATAGGAAGGTGCATTAATGAAAAAGTACCTATGATTTAGTAATGACATTCATTGCGTTTGTCACTTATTTTGATGGGAATCTGCAGTGATTCAGTTTCTAGGGTCTTGGAACCTTATTAAGGTGTTTTTGACATTTTCCCACACCATAAAATCGAGACCATAGGAATGTGTAGACCTGTCATGGAAAGTACTCTTTTTTTTCACTGGAATAACTTCTTGTGTTCAGTGGAAGAGTTTGCACCTTCACAACAAATGGAGTCCTAAGAACAATCAAGTGCTTAAGTGGAGTAACCTATCAAATAGGATAAATAACACATGGAAGTTAATTGTGAATATCCTTTTATTTAAAGACGTTTCTTTCAGTCTGTTCTAGTAGGTACACCATGTTATTTGATAGGAACTTTATTAATTTTGCAGTTATACTTATGTTAATAGTGTCTGGCAACAATCTTACCTTAGCAGTGTTATTTGGAAGTGGGGAGAAGGAACATGAATCCAGCTGACTCCTCCCCAGCAGGGAGAGCTGCCAGGAGCTTCTGCTCTGGCTGCCACAGGACATCCACTTACACCAGATTTGTGAATTTGTCTTTGATACACTCAATGAACTGGCTTGGATCCTACCTGTAACACTTTGCTTGATGAATTGTAAAGAAACACAAATTTCTGATGCAGAGGATCTGTGTATATCCGTGAGAAAGAGCTGTGCTGGCAGCTCTGCTGTTCCCCTTCTACCTCTGGGACTTTGTGTCCAGCTAATTGAAGACTCTCAGGATGAGATGGGAAATCAAGATTAGGACTAAGTGATGAAATTTTATCATGACAAAAGCCGAAATGATGATATCTTTAAGCTCTGAATTAAGTCTTCACTGAGAAGTCTTTTTCCCCTCTTTTTGTGCTCATAGAATTAATCAGTTCTAGGTGTTAATGAGTGATGTGATTATCAGCTACCAGCTCTGGACTTGTATTGATGCCATTCTGACTATACAAAGAACGGGAAGAAAAAACCAACAATTTCTCCTCTGTCCTTTGTAACACTTGAACCACAGAAAACAGTTTCTGTGCTGAAATGCCAATTCTTTACTGACTACCCTCCACGTAGGGCACCCTTTTCAGGCCTTCACCCCAGCCTTTCCTGTATCTCTGTGGTTGTTGGTGTCCTTTGTCCTGTGTCTGTTTCATCAAGAGAAAATGTTTTCCTGGTTGGGGACTTGCTTTGTCAGAAGTGACAGCAATTCCACAACACAGATGAAACAGAAATTTGAATTTTGACTTTTCAAGAGTGAACTTAAAATTGCAGTTTCAGACTGAAAATCTGTTTTTTAGTCACATATACCATATCCCCATTCTAGATTCATACACAAAGCAAAGGCTTGTCCAGGGCAAGCTGTGATGTTAAAACATTTGATATTTTAAGTGTTGGGGAAGTTTTTTTTGATGAAATAAAACCAGCAGCCATTTTCAGTTTTTTTTTTTCCCTGTGATGACATTTCAGATTGTGAGATTAACATCTGTTGGGTTCATAGGCACTCAAATAACCACACATTTTTAGTTAGAGGACATATCATCAAATGATACATTTAGAATTTGTCATTTTACTCTTGGGATTATTTTTAGAGAGTGATCCTTTCATGTATGGAAGTCAAATGTTTTTTTTAAATATTTCCCTTAGAACATCAGGAGATGAAGAACATAAAAAAAATTCCAAAAAACAATCACTAATGAGTCATTGAATGCAGTCCCATACTCATTCTAAACTTAGTATGAAGAATATGAACTTAATTTATTTTGTATTATGCTTTAAAAAAATTAGAAAATCTATTTCCTCTTTAAAAATAATTTGTACACTCACAACCTCTCTTGAATGTATCATAAGATATATGCAGTCATTATCTAGAAGACAAGGAGAAATCAAAATCAGCTCAATGCTTTCCTTGTATTTATTACTTTATTATATTCTGTATAAATCATCTGACACTTGATTCCAAGTGGGAATACTGTTCTCCATTGCTCTGGATGAATGTTTTGGGATTATTTAGCTGATGACTAGTTAGGCTAAAAACCTACAACCTCAGCAGCGAACCTACAGCCTTGTGGTTTGCTAAAATAAGTATTTCAACGAAAATTCCAAACTCTGGCTGTTCAGTGAGAAAGTTAAATTGATATTTCTGTCAAGAATCCTATTGATTGAGAAGTCATAGCTGCAGGGCTTTGTTGTGTACACACCGTGCCTTGTGGGCAGAGGTTTTATGAAATCTGGGAAAGTTTACAACACTTTTTATTTTTCTTTTATTTTTCCCTCCCTTCTTCCATTACTCTATGCTTTTATGGAAGATTTTATTTATTTTTTAATTTATTTGTGTATTTTTTTAGCATACCCATCTCTCAGTTGCATTCATTTCTTGATTGTGCTGTTGGCTGGCATGAAGCACAGCGCCATTTGAAATTAAAATTAGTGTTGTAAAGCAGCTTGGAGCACACATTTGCATTTTGTTTTACAGTGTTTCTTAAACAATCATATATGATCATGATAACATGATTATATTACATGGTCACATATTCATATATTTGTCAAATGTTAATATTTTTGTTTCTGTTAAGTTGGTAGTTTCAGTTGGTAAAAATTTAGTAATCTCCTGATCACAAGGAAATTATTGGAATGGTTTGATTATTCTAAGTAGCTAGACTGTAAGCATTAAAAACTGATACAAATAAAAATACTTGATTTCTTGTTTTTCCCCTTAATTTTTTGAAAATGAAATATGCAATTGGTAGTAACAGGAAAATAATGGTGACTTAAACCATATTTTTAGGGGAAAACTATTATTTCTGATTTCAACACTTTCCCCCTGCTATTTCTATCATTTGGTAGTATTTCACCATTGGTTTTACATATTTGATTGTGTTTGATAGGAGGTGTTTTCTACCTGTTCCTGCTGAGTCCAGTCCTTGAGTTTTCAGTTTAAGAAAAGGCTTTGACATGCTAATGCATGTTACTCCATTACATATGACATTTGGAGGAGAATTACAGCAAAATCTGTCACATAGCTGCTGGTGAGTTTAGCAATGTTGGTGGGTTTAGCAACTACCTCTCTTCTTATTTAACTGCCTGAAAATTTCAGCTTGCCTCTGTAAGGACAGGTTCATGCCCTCAGCTAGTTCTCACAGTGCTGGATCATTAGGTTTCTAAGGAGAACAATAAAATAAAACTCCTACTTCAACATTTATGAGTACATTTATGTTTTAAATGTACTAATTTTCTGCTCTACATGTAGTAATTATTGTCAGATCTTTCAAGGATTTGAGCTATTTTTTTTCTTTTAATTCATGTTTCTTGCATCAATCATTTTTTCTTAAATTGCAGCTTTCATTTAAAAAATGTGTCTAATATCAAAGCTTCAGAACATGACCCAAATGCAGTCTAATGGCTCAAACCCTCAGAAGGCACTTGAAACATTTGAGATCTAAAATTTGAAGAAAAGGAAAATACAGGTTTTGGCAGTATTGTATGTCACTCTTGGCCTTTCTGTTGATTTTTTTTTTTTTTTTTTTTTTTTTTTGTTCTGCAGTAGGCTCACTTTGTCTGATTTGGTATATTCAGTATATTATATGTAAAGTTCATGAGGCTCTCTGGGATCTTTCAGAGTTGCAGGCTCTCTGTAAGTGAAACTACACTTTGTTAAGTATTTTTACAACCAAACATTACATTTTATTCAGGAAATTGTCCAGTTTTGCAGAAATAAAGAACAAGAGTTTTAATGTCATGTATAATTCGTAGAAGACAGTGCTCTCAGAGCAGAAGTGAGGATGAGGTAGTGGCTGAGGGAGAAGCTGCAAAGCACCTTTCAAGAGGGCTTTGTACCTTGGGGCTTCATTGTGTTCTGTCCCTATGAAACATGCCTTTTGTCCTTCTGAGTTTTGTACTAATTATCTGAATATGGAGAGCAGTTTGGGCATGAGAGTTTCTCTTTCATGAGAACAAAGTAATTTTGCTTTGGCTTCTAAGTTCTTCCATAACTGACTATATGCACATACATAAAAATGTCTTTTGGTTTGGCAAGTTCAACAGAGAAGAGTCCTCTCACCACTGGGCTTTAGTTGTTTTCTAAGATATTTCATAGTCATTACTTCTTCTTCAGGCTACCTCTAAAAATGCTAAGTGCAGAGCAAAACAGGTATGTTTTTACAATTGTTCAAACACTCCTGGCTAAAGAAGGAATGCAAGCAGTCTCTTGTGCCCGTTTGGTTTACATTTGTATGCAATTAATATCTTTTTGGCTTCCTATTTGAAAAATATATGGTGCTGGATTTTCTTTCAAAAACACTTTTATCTCTTTTTTCTGAACAATTGTTCCTCCAATGCCATGGCCATGACATTCCGTGACTGGCGTGTGAATAATCTCTTTTGCTCAGTTTGCAGTTTGCAGGTTGTATCAGTGAAGCAGTGGAACAGGGCAGGCTGCCCAAGCCTTTCACAGATCCCATGCCAGTGAGATCTGTTTTGAATTCCAGTGCTCAGGGTGTATTTGTTGTAAGGCAAACCTCTTTATATAAAATGCTAGTAATTTTTGGTGCAAAGTGTCAATTGTCTAGGGATGTACAGTTAAGGCAGT